TCAGTGAAAAGTTTTACACTTCCTATTGTAGTCAACATCTAGAAACAGAAGGAAGAAATATATGAATTCTACTGTGCAATTATTTTCCCTTGGGACATGTGTAGCATGGACATGTTTACCATGTGACATCTCAATTTGTGAATGCAAAATAGTTGGTACCCACAATAGACACTAGCATCTCTAATAGCAAACTGGGTAGCTGTTTAAGCATCTTGCAACAAGAGGGATTTGTGTGTATGTATGTGTGTGTGTGGGTGTGTGAATTTTAAGAGGTTCTATTAATTTTTGTTGTGTGTGTTCATCTCACCCTTAGCTTAACAGACCTTATTCCAAAATATAATAGGATTACATAAACTAAGTTATCTGTAGCATCTTTTAATATGGCACTAAGAAAAATGAAGAATATTCATAAGCAAAAATATGTCTTTCCATAATAGTTAAAATTAAAAAAAAAAAACAAAACCCTATTTGTGTACCAACCCACTACAACTCATTTCCAGAAGAAATGTTAAAAGTTTATTCATCTGAGGCCAGGTGATACTCAATACTAGGCCTTAAATTACTATACTTTAAAGTTTTTCTAGTGTCTACATTAAGTACTAATAAGTGCCATGTTTCTAATACCAAAAATAGACTATAGTGTTATTCTCACACCCAACATCCAGCCAACTCCTTTTTTCTAAATCTTCTAAGTGCACCTCAACTAATAAATAAGTATGTCTCACAAATTTTACGTGCGAAAGTGATTCCTTCAGATAATACATTTTTTATACATGAATTTGAATATTAAGTTTAATACATCTGTCCTACCAAACCCTCCAAAGTAGACGAAACATAATTTGGCCTATAGAGAACTCTCTTCACCCTGATATAGATCTAGGCTTGGGCCAAGTGTTCTTTGAGACCAGTGATTTTGTTCAATACTGAAAGAACCAATCCAACGAATGACATGGTATTCTAATTCCCATTCTTAGTACTTCCTCCTGCCTGCCATGCTACTGCTGTGCGGCTCTGAGTTGCCTGTAGTAAAGTAAGCATGACGTGCGTGGTTTCAAAGAATCAGTTCTTGTTGCCATGGGTTCCTGTAGCTGGGCATTGCCAAGTCCAACTGGGCCTCATTTTTTCCAGGTCTTACTCACTGATGTAAGTTCTGTTGGAACTGCTTTCTTGCTTTTTGATGATAGAACATTTGTCTTATTTTAGATACTGTCCCACAAATATCTTTAGAGAAGTCAAAGGTTGGGTGGGAATTATCACTGGTGAATAATAAAAGTATAGGAGACTATGGTTTTTAACTTGGCTTCACACATTGGGGTAAAGTACATAAACCTTAATAAGGTCCAGAGGAAAGTCTTCAGATATGACCCACTGCTTTGTTCTCTGGAGGTATTTACAGATGCTAGATACTATGAATATCTTTAAAAGGTGTATTCTTATCTAACAACTACTTAGTAGTAAATCTGTGCCAACCAAATTATGATTCACTCTAAACAAGCTTTAACACGTTTATTTATTGCATAGTAAAGTCAATAGTATAGTAACTAGAGTAGTATAGATAATATAGTGAAGTCGATAGTATTTTGATAGTAATGTACACAACTTTACTATACTATAAATACTTTAGTATAGTAAACTCCTATACTATAGTAAATTTGTAAAGTTGATAGTGTTGGATAGTATTGGTAGTGAAGTCAAAATAAATATACTTCCTCCTTCATCTAAACCTTACATTGCAATGCCATCTAAAGTGTATATTTTAAAACAAACTTTAAAAATTTCTCAGCCAGAGAAATGCTTTCACAATGGTTTTAGATTGCCAAGGGTACTGGAAAAGGGAGGAGGGAAATGGCCATGGCATTGATAAAAGTATAAATAGTATTGTGCATGTGGAAAGAAAATTAAGGAAAATAACAGGATCAATATATCTGGCATTATTCTGTCACCTAAAAATTGGAGAATCTATGTCAAAGTCCAATAAATCAATAATTTCTGAGCATTGTTATTGGTAAGTGATAGGTCTGTGGTTTCAGATTTCGTTGTGTATATCCAGAAAAGACCAGTCTTAAATAAAGTCTCTGAACAGTAAAGAGCTCTGTATTTTGTTCTTTACCAAAGAGACAGGTGCTAGTCATCACTGTTGTGCTATTTCTCAACCCAGCCACAGATACACTCTCTGTGATAATCCTTATTACATTTGTTTTAAAGTCTACATTACAGATCCAAGTCCTGACTTTCCATCGTGATTATATATCATGCTCTTCCTCTTTTCTGTGACATTTATTGTGAAGCACTTTGGACAAACAGCAAGATGTGAATTCACATTTCAAACTCCCTAGACCAATGGAACATTGCTAGTCATTTGCCTGCATTCTCTGGTTAAGTTTACATAGAAGGAAAGATTGCTGTTTTCTTTTTCTTAAAAATCTTATGTTGCCTAATCAATCAAAACAGTAGAGGTTATGAGACAGCCGTTGTAATGACAATGAAATACACAAGTCTCACTATATCCAGAGCTATTAACCTAAAGACCTGATTACCTGATTAAAAAAAAGACAGATTCTCTAAGAAAACAGACTTAAATCTCTGCTGAACTATACAAGACAAAAGATTTCAAAGACACTTGATGCAGGTGTGCCTTCTTGATCTTGCTCTGATGAATGCAGTTATTTTGAATTCGCTTCTACAAATAAATCAATTATACAGAAGGTGCCTATTAGTCCATCTTTATATTAGCTCGCCTTATTTGAAATAGAAGAATCCTAGTTGAGTAAGACTGGGAATTTAAGCCTAATGAGCCTCCTGCTTAGATGGCTGGGGCTTGGGGAGTGAGGAGGGTGGGGGTAAGGAGAATGCTGGTTAGCCTTCAGTGTCCTTCCAATGTTCTCAAAGACAGGACAAAATGACTGCGGTTTTGGCATGCAGGGGCCAGCTTGCTCAGGAAATTGTGGCATATATAAAACAAAGCACATAAACAAACTCCCCATCCAGGAAGCTGAGTTTAACAATTGCCTCATTAACCAGACCCAGGGAAGGACAGGAAAAGAGGGGGAAGCCAATGGCTGATTATTATACAGTTCTAGACAGATGAAGCCCTTCAGTTTCTCCCCAAACAATCCCTGTAGTGTGGATTTGACAAAGTGGTACATTTAAGAGGGAACTCTCTTGCCATCAATGGGAGTCAGGCGCACCCGTATCTGAGGGCCAAATTCAGTCCCTGGAGCTTGACTTTATCAGTATACACAAGACAGAGGACAAGGCAGCTACATCCACAGAGAATTAATTAAGAGCCAAAGAGACATCCAGTGAATGTAATCAATAGTCTGAACACTGATCTACATATCAACCACCATTGCTTTCTCCCCTCCTATTTCTTTTACATTATTTACACTAAGATGCTCTTAAAACTGAGACTTCAACGGAGATTTATTTGCTACTCAGCTTCATTGAAATTACACATTTTTCATATTGCATCATACAAAAATATACCCTCAAAGACCAAATATCCTAATGCCAGTGTAAGTTTCTGAATGGTTGAGATATTTGTGGGTGGAATGTTATTATGGATAATTTATTAGTTTGGCTTTCTCCCTGCACATTTCTCCAGTTTCATATGGGACATATGTGCAAACAAACCTGATTTCAGAATTGCCAAAGTCCACACCCAAATTTGTCTTTACTGGCTAGTTTTGGTCTATCTTCTTTTGAAATTGCCCCTTTTGTAACACACCATAAAACCCCTTGCTAATTATTACGGTGTTGCTTGCAAACACAGAATATCGGTTTAACACAACTCTTTCCAGCACTGGTATATGTTTCTCATATCTCAACCCTTCCCCCGCCCAACACACATATCAAAGCACATTACAGTTCCCTTTCTGAAACCAATGAAAACAATCATATAATTTTTATATTGTTTTCATTTGTTCTGGGCAATAGTACAGGTCTCATTACCTTCATTTTTCAATGGCTTACCAGAGACATCATTTTTCAAGACCAGGTTCTTGGTTAAGTCCTTTAGCAAAGATCCTGATTTCCTCTTGAATCTGTGTTTTATAGAAATCTCTCCTAAGCAGCACTGAGACCAGAGTAATTTGTCAGTCATCACTTTTGATGGGGTCTAGTCCCATCAATTCAATGGCGGCCTTTATTGCTTAAGGAAAATAGGAAATTCTGCCTCCTGGACATAAACATGTGAATTTTTCTATGTCCAGGATTAAAAAGATGAAAAGGGCAGATTTAACCAATATTTCCGTAAGAATGAAAGTCTCACTTTTAATCCACATGTGTAATGGTTTGCTCATGAGTCACATTTCAGGGGTCTAACTATAGGCGTATTTGGATTGTCATTGGGTCTAATTTTACAGATCTTACTTACACCACACTCCCTTTGAAACAGGCGGGAGTGTGACTTGAGTAAGCACTATAAAACTAGAGCCCATTTTTCCCTCTAATCATGATCGCTTTCTTAAATAGATGTGATTTCAAACTTAGCATGAATACAACCTCAGGATAATCTAAAATAGAATGATGTCATAAGAAATGAAATATTGAAATGAAAAAAAAAAAAAGTGGTTGGCTAGGAAGAGGTTGATTTCTTCTTACTCAGAAACTAGCGGCCAGGCATAATTTAGAAAAATTATGATAAAATGTAGAATCATTACTGACACATTGATAGTGTAGATTTTGGTGGCCAAAAAAGAGTTGATAAGATATAGAAGCATAAGCTACCCTTATTTTAGGCCCACTGGAAGCAGCTAGTGTTCAACCAGTTTGGTTTTTATATGGCCTTCAAAGATATATGTCAACTATAGTGAATTATTCTAAAATTTAAAAAAGTTACCTGATTGTTGACCAAAAATATGAAATGGAGAAAAGGAAAATAAACAAACAAAAACAGACATACCATGTCCACACACAAAACAAAATAATTCTCTCAGGGACATCAGGGAAGGTGGAATACTATAACAACACATGTTATATTGTTATACTATTCCACCCACCTTAATGAGGAACCCTTGGGCGTTGCTACTCCATAGCCTTTTGAATCCAGATTTCCTCCCACTTTCATCGTGTCACATGGCTTTCGCTGCTCAATGTATTCATTCATAGTGGACTCCAGGAGAAAGGCAAATTTGCCCTTGGATTTGCGGACACGAGCTACTCCCTCAGCTGTAGTCCTAGTGAACACTGATGGCTCTGCTGATCGCATGTAGGTCCACATCTTTTCATACACTGCTATTTTTGATCTCTGGAGGAAATTAAAATTAAATACAGGAAAGAAGGGAACAACATGTTAATATCGACTGAACCAAGATGGATAAAGCCTTTCAGTAGCTTTCCCTTGCCCTCTAACTCTAAGTTGCCATATCGTAACATAACAGTAACATTATTCTTTTCAAACTGGAAAACCACCTTTCAAAACTTTTTTGGAACCCATTGAAATGACAGACATCTAAAACTGATACGTGCAGAAGCCTGCCCCGCTTGCCACAGCAGTTACAGTACGCAACTGCTTAAATAGCTTATTACTGTTCTCTCAATGTAGAATGTCATAGAGAGAGTTGAACAGTTAATTATATCACATTCACGGTAAATCTGAAAAGGACCAGATAAGAACTGATTTCGAGTTTGTAAAATTCCTTCTCACAGTGTGTTTCAGTTATAACAAATAAGGAGAGTTCTTTTATTTTTATCTTTTTTCCATGCCTCAAAGTTTTAATGAAACTCATTCTAGTAAGATGTATACCAAAGTGCAGTTCGTATCAAGTCAGTAGTTGAACACCAAAGGAGGAGGTGAAATCTGCTATGGTTTACAAACCAAATATCCATAACACAGGAATCAAACTGTGGGTTGGTGAAAACATTTTTAGACTCTTTTATCTGACAAAATCTCCAAATGGAACATATACTGAACTTTAAACAGAAATGATTCCTGTTTTCCCACTTTACAGTTTAGAGAGCTAGTCATTTTAATCCCCTGACTCCATCCAAGAAACTTACTTATCTTTGTAAATTACTTCTGTCTACCTGGGCTCTGCCCACATTACTCCCACTGCTTAATTCACCCAGGTCCTTTTGCTGGCATCTGCATTCACTTTACATTTTTTTGTTCACACATACATTTTTAATGTAAAAATATATCCACATGAACTCAAATGTCTCCAAAAGATATATTTAATAAGATAGAAAGGCCTGGATCCTGTTTAGTAATATAATGACACACACAGACTTTTACCTGGTGTGATCATATTTGTTAAATAACAAGGTGCTCAAATTTTGTATCTGGATCCAAATGAAATTGAAGGAGACTTCGTTCAGACTTCAGTCTATGTGTGAGGCCTAATCCTGAGGAGCATGTACATTTGCTTGCATTGAGCTTCCTTTGTTTACCAGAACATAGAATTCAACAAGAAGCAGTTCTTCAATAACCAACAAAGTGACTTGAATAGCAAACTTAAGAATACATATTTTTGGGTAAAAGCACATTTTTCAAGTGGATAAAGAAAGAAACTGATAAAAGCAGGATTCAAAACTTTGGTTTCATAAGATGAGAAATTATTAATAGTAATCAGTAAACCTAAGTAATAAACCATATAATAACTGATTCACATATTTGAATACCAAATAAAAAGATATTTATGGTAATGTATAGTCAAATGTTGATAAATATCAAGGTAGGAAATAGACATCCTATAGTAACCTAACGAAATTTTTTTATGCTATTAACACTTGAAAAAGTATCTAATGATATAAAGATTGTGAGGTGCGTGTGTGTGTTTATGTAATGACAGTTTACTTCTGGTTATAGAAATGCTCATGTTAGATAATTTCATGCCAATACTGTAATTCAATTGCAACAATTCTAAGTGCTTCCAGGACAGACAAGTACTGGGATTTAGATCTATCAACTGTGGGATACACGAGGGATGCCATGTTGCCAGGCCTTGCTCTTTCCATCTCTAAAAATAGAGTCCTGTTCTAGAGAACTAACTCTTCCATGATACAATGAGTTCTTTTTTTTTTTTTTACTTTTGGATTATTTTTTTATTACTCCAGTTTCCCACTTCTTTTAGTTTAGTAGTTCTCTTCTTCTTTACTACCCCAAAATTACATGTCCTTGACTTGTCAAAGTTTAATATAAATTTGTTAGTTTACATGTTTTTCTTTTCCTTGTCAATACAAGGATCTTAGAACACTTTGAGTTCATGCACTGCCTGCCAAATATGTGCTGTTATTTTTTTTTTAATTTTTTAAAGCTCTTTTTATTTTTTTATTTTTTTTAATTTCAGAATATTATGAGAGTACAAACGTTTTGGTTACATGAATTACTTTTTTACTGTTTGAGTCAAAGTTATAAGTGTGTCCATCACCCAGACAGGGTGCATGGTACCCATTAGGGGTGAATTGACCCATCCTCTCCTCCCCCTCCCACCTGCTTGATTTCCATTGGATTTTGATCATTTAGTTCCAGTTTAATAGTGAGTATATGTGGTGTTTGTTTTTCCATTCTTGGAATACTTAACTTAGGAGGATGGTCTCCAGTTCCATCCAGGTTGTTACAAAAGGTAATTAGTTCACCATTTTTTTAATGGCTGAGTAATACTCCATGGTATACATATACCACATTTTATTAATATCCACTCATCTACTGATGAGCACTTGGGTTGTTGCCACATCTTTGCTATTGTGAATTGTGCTGCTATAAACATGCGAGTGTCATTTTTATAAAATGTCTTTCTTTCCTTTGAGTAAATACCCAGTAGTGGGATTGCTGGATCAAATGGTAGGTCTACTTTTAGTTCTTTGAGGTTCCCCACACTAATTTCCCTAGGGGTTGAACTAGCTTGCAGTCCCACCAGCAGTGTGTAAGTGTTGCTTTCTCTCCACATCCACACCAGCATCTGTTGTTTTGGCATATACAATGAGTTCTGAAAAATGTAAACTCTCTGGGTCACTTGGTATAGATTGTCCTTAAATATCTATTCTGATAATTTCAAATTTAGAGAAGTGTTGGTAAACAACATCCTTTAAACATATAACCACTTTTTAATATATTTATAACTTGACCTGAGAGTTTCACCTAAAAAGGTGTAGAGCTCCATATACATTGTAGACTTTACTACATTGAAAACAGAAGAAATAAAATCAAAGTGAATATTGTTTTAATTGAAGTACTTTTTCAAAATTTTTAAGAAGATGAGAAACATGCTAATTACTTGCCAATTCTCCTGTTACAATTAAGTAACTTATTAAAGGAACAGGAGAGTTAAAGGAAACCAACATAGCAATATGGAAAAAGAGTATTTTTAGGGCTTGGTACTTATAAAAAATCATTAACTACAGAATGCAGCATAATATTAGAGTAAATTATTCCTTTTTAAAAGAATAAAGTATCTTTAGGCCATTGGTATTTTTTAATAGTCAATTCCAATAATATTAATGTGAGGAAAATTACTGCTGCATTTGTTTAAATATATTGAATTATATATAACTTAAATGTAAAAGAAGTTGTATTAATCCCTTTAAAATCTGAAAGAAAGAGGAATATATAGAATAGTAATGCTAAACTTAGGAGGCTTTAGGTACATAGAAATTGTAAAATACTGACAAAATAGAGGAAGGAGGAAAGCAAGTTTTTTTGGGGAAAAAAATTAGCCTGGTTTTTCACCCTACTAATGTTTAGAAATTCTGATTCTCATTTAAAGGGCCATAGCTTAGATAAGATCACATCCACATGGCGAAGGGATGAAGGAGAATCAAAGGACTGGAAATAATACCCCTGTGCCTTATCTGTGATTTCAGGAAAGTGATTGCTAAGGGCTGCGGGCAAGCAAATATTTACAAATTTGATGAGTAAGGCTAAAATGAGGAAATTTCTGCAGATCCAGCAAGCTCAGTGGGTCTCTGTATCAAGCATAGTCATAATGAAACTTTTAAGTCCCTAAAACCTTTGTAGTATCTACTGAAAACTCAAGTGTGAGAAGTAAAAAGATAACATGAAAGTCATTATTTTTTGAAATTTGAAAATTAATCTCAGATCTATTTCTTTCATCTTTATTGTGAAACTCAATGCATAGGAAACTATCCAATCTAAAGCATTGTTTTATTACTTAAAACAATTCTTGAAGTTTTAAAAATGTGCTGTCCCTTTAATTTCTCAAAAATAAGTCTAGCATTTCTCTTTTTAATAGAAACTATCATGCGCTATAGTTAATGTTTATTTGCTATCAGGCGAATTACTTCTAGTAGCTTATGCAGCAAGACTGATGTCCTAGTGAGAACTCATCAATGCATTATTTGATAATATGATAAACCCTGAGATAGCAATCTACATCATTTATGCATTCATGATTTCACTGATGACTGAAACGAGCATGGGACAAAATCTGCATTGAAATGAAAATCAGTGCGCTTGAAACAGGTGTGTAATAACGTGAAATTACCTAAACAGCGAGGTTGTCATTAAGTGACAAGTACAGACTCTTTAAATGCCTTCGTGTTTATGCTTAACGTGGTACACAGAACATGAAGCATATCGAGTTTCATAATGGAGCAAAACCAAGGCAACAGTTGAATTCAGATGTAACTTTCCCCTATGGCCTAATTCTCTTTCCAGTTGAATATTACTGTGACATTTTTTTGAAGCGCTGGGTATAGGTCACTGCCTGAGGCAGCTTAGTGGAGCTGATAGATGTGCCATTACTGTGTTCCTAGGAGAAAATGCTTTTGACAGGTACAAAAATACCCTTCACGTTCCGGTTTCCTCAACCCATCAGACAAATGGTTTATTTAAACCAGGTCATCATGTAATGGAGAGGAGAGAGGCAAGTAGGATAGGAAATGAATGAGATTTTTATCAGAGAACTCAAATCTATGCATTCCTGATAATGTGCTGTCAGGGGAAATTACTTTCTTGTCCCATCTGAGTTCAGAATGTTCTGCAACAATAAATATCTATATTATAAAAAGTCTTCCAATTTAAAACTGAAGTTGGGTGGGAGAGAAAGGAAACAAGGCGTGGTGCTTGCACAGCTTGTATAGAAGACTCTGTAAATCTAGGAAGCAGCTTTCCTCATTCCTATATTTCTTATCGATGTATTCTCTTATCTACCTCACCAGTTCTTTGAATTTTGGCTTTTAAAAAAAAACCTTATAAAGATTAGAAATAAACATTTACAGTGAGCTTTATGCTAAAGAGCTTTACAGTGAGTTATTTTAAAATTTTCTTCAGGGAATCAATATGACATT